GTATGTTGTATGTAGGTAGGTAGGTATGTTGGTATGTATGTAGTGTATGTATGTATGTAGTATGTATGTATGTATGTCAATGTATGTATGTATGTATGTAGGTATGTCATGTAACGTATGGTGTATGTAGTATGTATGCATGTATGTATGTATGTATGTATGTATAGTTATGTATGTATGTATGTATGTATGTATGTATTGTATGTATGTATGTATGTATGTATGTATGTATGATGTATGTATGTGATGTATGTATGTATGTATGTATGTATGTAATGTATGTATGTATGTATAGTGTATGTATGTATGTATGTATGTGTATGTATGTATGATGTGTATGTATGTATGTATGTATGTATGTATGTAGGTATGTATGTATGTATGTATGTATGTATGTATGTATGTATGTATGTATGTATGTATGTATGTATGTATGTATGTATGTATGTATGTATGTATGTATGTATGTAGTATGTATGTATGTATGTATGTATGTATGTATGTATGTATGTATGTATGTATGTAGTATGTATGTATGTATGTATGTATGTATGTATGTATGTATGTATGTATGTATGTAGTATGTATGTATGTATGTATGTAGGTATGTATGTATGTATGTTATGTATGTATGTATGTATGTATGTATGTATGTGTATGTATGTATGTATGTATGTATGTATGTATGTATGTATGTATGTATGTATGTATGTATGTATGTATGTATATGTATGTATGTATGTATGTATGTATGTATGTATGTATGTATGTATGTATGTATGTATGTATGTATGTAGTATGTATGTATGTATGTATGTATGTATGTATGTATGTATGTATGTATGTCATGTATGTATGTATGTGTGTATGTATGTATGTATGTATGTATGTATGTGTGTGTGTCTGTGTGTGTGTGTATGTATGTATGTATGTCATGTATGTATGTATGTCGTATGTATGGGTGGGGTGGGTGTGGGTGGGTGTGTGTGGGTGTGTGTGGGTGGTGGGTGGGTGGGTGGGTGGGTGGGTGGGTGGTTGGGTGGTGTATGTATGTATCTATGTGTGTATGTATGTACGTATGTGTGTATGTATGTGTGTTTGTGTGTATGTATGTGTGTATGTATGTGTGTTTGTGTGTATGTATGTGTGTATGTATGTATGTATGTATGTATGTATGTATGTATGTATGTATGTATGTATGTATGTATGTATGTATGTATGTATGTATGTATGTATGTATGTATGTATGTATGTATGTATGTATGTATGTATGTATGTATGTATGTATGTATGTATGTATGTATGTATGTATGTATGTATGTATGTATGTGTGTATGTATGTGTGTATGTAGGTGTTTGTGTGTATAAATATGTATTTAAGCACGAATGTGTAGAATAGACCCGCCCATCAAATAAACATGTGGTAAAAGTCGACTGATTAGTGATATATTCTTCTAAATCGAAGTGCATCTGCCTGAAAGGTAAGGAACCAGCAGTCTGAATACAAATAGACGAGATCTGTAAAACAGACGTGCACTTACAACTCAAGTTATGGAACAAGACCAAAGAAGAGAATGGGCAAAACAACTAAAACTTTCCGTCGGAGTTTACAGCCGTGAAGGCCAACAAGAAGAAACAGAAACACCGTTTTTACCCAGTTTCAAACACAGGTGACTAAATGTTCTGGGGATTAACTCATCTGTCATATACAATCTGTCCATAAACAGGCTGATTTAATAATAGACATCATTTCTCAGATTTATTGAATGAATGAACCAACATCACTGCACTGAGGACATTCCCCACGTGCTCCGACTGTTTCTTCTGTAGCCAACGAAGCGTCGACAAGCTAATTGTGCCGGTTACTATCTGATTAAAAGTCCGTCTATGTTTCCTCCTCTTTGTTTAATATCTTCTAGAACCTCTACTCGCCGTTTCTGACGCTTACTCAGCTTAAGATGGATACCAGGATACCCGTTTTAGGCTGGGTCGACCTGCGACGCCGCATACCAAGATAAATATCCACGCAGAGATATGTTAGGTTACGAGTTGGCCTCGCAACGCCTAAGCCGCGGACGCCGCTTGAAAGGGTTATGATGATGATCAAATAGAGTGAAAAGGGACATTAAATAAAAGGACCATAGGCGCCGGAACCTGGGTCTCATTTTTTGGGGGGACCACCTCGCCCCTCTTTTCTTTGAAGACGTATCTATTTTGTTTATCGTCTCACTGATACCAGGTTTCAGCCCAGTGTCGTTGTTTTCTGTATTAGTCCTGCGCTTCTTGGGTGACTTAGGTGCTAGATTTGTCCATTTTTATTTTTTTTTTGCTATATAGGTTTCAGCTAAACCTATGTTTAATCTCTTTCTTAGTCATTATCCTTCCCCTCCCCCCATCCCTTTTTCTAAACGTGTAACTAGGCTATATTGGTTGGTTGGTAGTTGTACCCCACCAGGACATCTCACAAGCGATAAACACCGGATGACACAAAGTGCCAGCATATAGATGAGGATCACCCGTGGAGAGGTCCCAGAAACCTCTTTCAGCCATGGCTAGGCCATAAATATGACCCAGCTATATTCAGTGCCCCTGGCAGAAGACTGGATAGGGCTTCAAGTAACCAAAAAAATTGCATCCCACATGGGGACGACTTCAATGGTAATTGTTTTCCGTATTTGTCCTGCGCTTTTTAGGTGGCTTAGATGCCGGATTTGTTCGTTTTTGTTTTTTTTAGCCAAACCATTTTTTAAAATCTCATTCTTAGTCACCCCCCCCCCCCCCCCCCCCCCCCCCCTCCTTTTCTGATCGTGTAACACAGTAATATTAAGGAACCCCAGTGGTTAATCAACTGCAGTCCAGTGTGAAGGTGAGAAAATCAACGTAAGCAGACACATCAACCAAGAACCCAGTAGTATACCTGCCGGACAGCTTCGGGTGTAGACTTTTCAATCTGAAAGCTGACAGTAGGTTCTGGCCGTGTAGTCGGAGGGCAGAAGACGGAACTGTATGCAGCCAACACCAGTTTGTGCACTAAGATTTCTTCATCCCCAACCTGCAGTAGATACAATTTATAGGGTGTCTAAATCGCCAGGACAGTATCGTTTTTAGGTAGGCCCAGACTGCCCGGTTTGATCCCACCTGCGGGCCAAGCGTTGGTTTCGACACTGGTATCGAGAAGCCGATCGTCCAGAAGGAAAGACAAACTACCGGACGTAAATTTAAATATAAAAACCACAACAGCAAAAAAGTCTGGGGTTAGTTCTATAACGTCATGTAAAGGATACACAATTAACTATAACACTCTTAAGATTTTTAGGTACATGAACATTTGTCCAAAAGTGAACTCAGGACACATCATAAACGTAGATCATCCCGTGGATACCGAAACGTTCGTTGTCTGGGCCAGTTAAAAAACGAAAACGTCCCGGCGAAAACGGGACACCCTATTTTTATATTTATTGAAATCGTATTCTTCCTCATTTTCTTCTCTTCCTCTTTTACCACTTCGGGCCTCCAGGCAGATAAAGGTTCTGCTCTTGCGCTTCCTGCCGCCTCGACCATAGACACACCGTGCTGTTGTATAGTTTCTCTTATGTTAGCTCTCCACATTGTTCTTGGTCTGCCTCATGCTCTGCGTCCCTCTTCTCGTTTGGTGTATGACTTGTAAAGTATGGCGTCACAATGATGCTGATATCAAAATAACCAGAAAAAATTGATCCGAACGAGAATTTAAACCTGTCATTCTCATCATCATCATCCGCATTATCGTATCGTGCTGTTACACATCACACAGGGCTCGCAGTCTTGTCCTCGTTTCCGTTCTAAAAGTCAGAGTAGCTGCCTTTCTTGCGAGATTTTGTAACAAATTTAATTTTAGCATGGAGTGGGAAATGGCATCAGGCAAGCTCTCTTTCTTTCTCATCCCACGTTGGGACCGATAATGACAGAGATTAAAAACTAGAAGTTTCTAAAAAAAAAAAAAAAAATCATGAATGATAAATGAACGTTGGGGTTTACAAGAATGGCGCAATAACTAACACATGACCTAATCAGATTCAAACATGCACAATGAGACGGACACAACCTGGCCGGCCAGATAGACAGGAAAGGTATACAATACTAGCATAAAACACTACACAATCAAATAGCAGCACAAACTAGTGGTCGTTGTCCAGTTAACTCTAAGGATCCTTGAATAATGAAATGACAACATTAAAAAAAATATGTTTACTAACTTTTCATTAATCAAGAACCTGACAAACAATTCGTATAGCAGTCGACCAACACGGACACTAGGCACATGATAACAAGAACATCCACTGCCTACCCAAAAGTATGTCGTAAAAGTCGACTAACTGGAAGCTTTCTTCGAAGTCGGAGTGCATCTGCCTGTGAGGCAAGGAACCAACTGTCTGCACACAAATTAGCCAGATCTGTAAAACCGATGCACACGCAACTCTAAAGTTCTGGATCAGGACTGTAGTCAAGAAGTGGACGAACAACCAGAACTTTCCACCAGAGTTCACAGCTGGTGAATGCAAAGAAGAAGAAGAAGATCCTAAGCAGGAATTTCACAAGGTTTAAAAACTAGCAAAGTATGTCGTAAAAGTCGACTAACTGGAAGCTTTCTTCGAAGTCGGAGTGCATCTGCCTGTGAGGCAAGGAACCAACTGTCTGCACACAAATTAGCCAGATCTGTAAAACCGATGCACACGCAACTCTAAAGTTCTGGATCAGGACTGTAGTCAAGAAGTGGACGAACAACCAGAACTTTCCACCAGAGTTCACAGCTGGTGAATGCAAAGAAGAAGAAGAAGATCCTAAGCAGGAATTTCACAAGGTTTAAAAACTAGCAAGGGACGGAGTGGCTTTCCTGTATGCCGTGATTACAGTGGCGATCTGCAAACACCTGCTACAAGATGTTTTAAATGTTTCAAGAGATGGTTCTCAAAAGATACAGTGGGTGAGTATAATACTTTTTAGTAGCAGTACGAAAACTCACGTTGCTCACTGACTATTCATATACACAAATCATCCCAATTCATGATGATAGGAAAGAGGAGGACTTGTGCGTCAGACCAGTTACATCACCATAAGATGTTTTTCATAGCTATAGAAACTCGCGACGCCATTCTGGTCAACAAAACAAACCCGGCAGTATGGAGTGTATTGAGTATACCAATGACAGTTACTGATTAGGTTAGTTGCGTATCCTTTACATGACGTTGCAGAACCAACCCCAACAGTCCCTGGCTGTTGTGTGGTTTTTCTAGGCAAATTTACGTCTAGTAGTTTGCCATTTCTTTTTAGACGGTCGGCTTTTTTGATACCACTGTCGAAACCAACGCAAGGCCCAGGGCCTGCAGCTGGGATCGAACCCGGCATCCCGGCATTACGAAGCGTTCGCATCGACTTAGCCACAGAGCCTACTCAGTTACTGATTTTAAAAAAAGGTAAAGAACATGGAGATATAATGGGCTCACGCTGAGACGAAATGAGCAGAGAATTTCGAAATAAGCACTGAAATGAGAAACAAACGGTCTAAGGTTAAAAAAAAACAAGATTACGTCTAAGGGAAACGCTGGGAAGAACATTGTAACAAAAGGCTTGAAGTCCTGGGTCGAACTCCATGACAGAAATCGAGAGGGGCATGCATGAGAGCGGACTGGAAGAATCGAATGCGAGCCCAATGTGATGTCTAATGGCACACAAAGAATGAAGATGATGATGGTATAGAAGCCATTTTGTCAGACATGATACCCCACTTCACCCCCCCCCCCCACCCTCCCCCACAGCAGAGGCACGCCACCAGCTAAAACACTTTCTTCTTCTGATGTTATCCTTCCATCGTGTTTTTGGTCTACCTCGTGCTCTACGTCCTTCTTCTCTTTCCATGTATGCTTTGTATGGTATGGTGTCACTTTGGGGAAGCCAAATACACACCCACAGCCCTACCCACCACCACCACCACGTTTTTAAGAAAAGGTGGGGTGGGGGGGGAACTGAACTCTTATTCATATACGAAAGAATAATACTAATAATAATGACAATAATTATTACTGTAATTATTATAATTATTGGGCAATTAAAGAATGCTGCACCGCTGGAAAATTATTGGGGGGGGGGGGGCGGGGTGAAGGGATCAGGTGGGTTAAGCCTTGTTTAATTTTGCTCTGATAATAACAACAATAATTTATAATTATAACAACAGTTATCATCGTAGTTTGTATTATTTATACGTTGACTAGCAAATTAAAACAAAATTAAATATATTTGACATAGTTTGAAATATATAAGCAATGCCTTAAAGCCGCCAACATCTAAATATTGTGGTGGGTGTCTATACTGCTTAATAGTTATTGTCTGAGCCGCCAAGTTGCGCCTCCTTTGCTTCTCTGTAAAACTAGAATTAATACTCAGTGTGCATTCATATACTTACGGTCACTCTGACGTCACACAGAAATTGGTTGGTCCACAGACATCGTAAGTACTCGCCCATGAAAGTTGAATTAACACAAGACTCTATCGCCGAAATAGAATCTGAACCTTCTGGGGCTCCACCGTGCAGTTTGTCCGCCGTGCATCTGACAATGCTGTTAGCTCTGGCATCTTGCAATACTTTGCTCAGTTCCGTAAACGTGGTTATTCCAGTCACGTCAGGCTCTGGGCTTTTATGTTTAAATTTAGGAACTTTAGAACGATGTCTCTTTCGTTTAACGGCTCCAGTTGGAAATAGAGAGCTTTCGCGGTTAACTTTCATTCGATTGGAGTGATTCTCGTTTTGCAGCGCGATGTTCATTGCAGGAGAGTGTGACGAGATTGGTGATTTTATCGACTGTAAAAATGTTCTATCATCTTGGTTGTCTGTCTCTTGTAGTGAGGTTCCGGTGATGTTCTGGGAGTTGCTGTTAGAAGCTGATTCTAGAAAGATCTTATTCTTGCGGCCAGAGTGAGACATAGGTTTGACGCTTGTGGTGGTATGTTGAGGTGATTTCGTGTATTTATGTGTTGTCTCTCTCCTAGCGCACGGTCCGTATTCCCCTACATGGTTCTGATTTAAGTGTTCAGTACTACAACTGAAGTTACCTGATTTAGTTTCTGCTCTTGTTTCTGCCGATAGATTGTGCTTGTCAGTGATGTCAGCTCTCAAGCTCCCTTTAAACAGTGCGGGAACCTTTTTAACCCGTTGAGACGATCCTTGTGTCACAGAGTCTTCTTTCTTTAACTGACAATGTTCCACATGACTTTTACCTGCATTACTTCCCTTATAATACTTTGCAAAGTCAAGACGAAAACCAGTTGTTCTTTTCCCTTCCAGAGTACTAGTAACTGGGTCGTCATATTTCCATTTCTTGTGCGCATTTGTCTGGGAGTAGCAGCTGTACCCTTTCTCTCCTTCGTGTGCTTCCGGATCGGTAGTCGTGTCTGACTCCGAGTCTTCCGTTTCGGTATGTCTGCCATGACAGTCCACGGACTGATATGTTGTGAGTTTTGAATCGGGATGATCATTCACATATTTTCTGTTCTCGTTTAGATTTGCAGAAGCGAAGTCAGCCGAAAAAACTTCACTAGTCTGTGAGGGCACCTCTTTCATCTTTTCATTACATTCTGTGCTGATGTCCACCAGAACATCAGAATTATTTACTTCACCACAGTCGGGTGTTGTGCTGTCTTCTCGAACGTGCATTGCTTTTTCCGACATATTTGTTAGAGGCATGACCGTGTTTAGTTCATCTGGTTTTATGTGGTAACAATTTTCTTTTTTCTTTTCTTTTCTGTGCCGCGTTCGCAACAAATTTTGTGACGTGTCTTCAACAGGATGAATGGCATCTGTTTCACAAATATCATTGTTATCAAGAGTTAAGACAGATAGTGTTTGCCTTTCTTCTTTCATTGATTCCTTTTTTTTAAGATGGTCAATTAAACGCTTAGAAACCTTGGTCTTGACAGATTTATCCTTACTTTTATCTCTTTGTCTCGAGCTTTCCTCGCTACAGTCAATTGGAACATTATCAATCCTATCCACTCGTCTAGGGCATTCTGGAACCAAAGCGTCTTCCGCCTTACCTTCACTTCTGCAGCATCTGAAACTATCAGACATGATGTTAATATCGCTCTTGTTCCCTTCGGTAGAAACACACTCAAAACTTTGGTCTTCATTTTCACAAGAACCATCAGCTTTCGGAGATTCTTTTGTGAAAATATCCCGTCTGGCAATATCGCCCCTTCTCTTCTTCGTACTTTTCTGAACTTCCGTCTCACTTCCCCCTTGTTCGCCATCAGATCCACCACTGACGTGAATTACATATGAGTATTTAGAGCTATCATTTTCCATGAAGTGCTTCACTCGACGAACCAGGTACCGGTGGGTTCGCCCTTCCGGTGTAACGTTCATTTGTATCTGGTACGGTATTGCTTTGTCGGTTTTAGGTTCCTCGTCGCTGCTACCATCTTTGGAGCATGACTCTGATTTGCAAGGCACCGGTTGTTCTTCGTGACGATCCATTGAATTTTCCGTTTTGTCAGAATATTTCAAGGGAACATGCCGCGTAAAATCTAAACCGGTGGATTGTTTAGGAGCCTGTGGCTTCAACCGAGTGTTATTTTTATCTTGGTGTTTCCCGTGTCTGTGTGTGGTTTCATTAGTAGTGTCCCAGCAGAAGCTGTTGTCTTGAGAGTGTGAGGCTCTTTGAACTTTTTGCGACATGGTTTCCTCGTTACGTTTTGGTTCTTTTATATTAATTGTCTGTTTAGAATTGTTTCTTTTTTGTCTTGAGTTTATCTTTTGCATTATTTTGAAAAACTCTAAAGTCATATCCGTTTTCTTGTGATTAACTCTTGTGTGTGGCAGATGGGTGTAGGAATTATCTCCTATCACATTATTACAAGGTTTCTCTGTGTTGTCACTCAGATCATCGTCCAGAACGAGTGAGGCATTCCCTTTAATTACACGCCTCTGTTCATCTTTGAACATATTCACGCCTTTAGCATTCTTTGACAATCTGTAAAGAATTAGATAGTTAGGGTAAAATAAAAGTTATATACAGTTTACAAAGCCTTGAAAAAACGTCTATTTAACATCACAGAGTCAACACTTTAGTGTTCGTGTAACAGGCTATCTGCCCTTGAACTACTTTGCTTCAAGTAATATGTCATTCGTGTATTGATCAATCGATACTATCGTGCATTTCTCAGCTTCCTCGCTTTTATTTTTTAATCCTGTTACAATAACCCATGCAACACCAATCGTTAACTTTAACGTTATTTGCGCAATAGCTTTATATTTTAACTCCTTGAGATTAGCAGATTATTATTCTAAACTACACCAATTGTTGATGTCACATTTTCAAGTATCAAGTACTTGAGAACAAAAGCGTTGAGCTTCATCATTCGTGTGCTACCATGAATTCCTAAGTATGAATATACAATCTAAAAAAAGGGACACTGTATTATATGTATACAGACAGACAGACAGCCAGACAGACAGACAGACAGACAGACAGACAGACAGACAGACAGACAGACAGACAGACAGACAGACAGACAGACAGACAGACAGACAGACAGACAGACAGACAGACAGACAGACAGACAGACAGACAGACAGACTGACAGACAGACAGACAGACAGACATGAACATGGGGGATTATTTGACCATACAAACCACACTGCCTTTTTTCAAAATGATAGGTGTTTTAAGTTTAGGCAATACTATAGTTTCAGTGCTTGCCATTAGTATGAATGTAATAATTTTAAAAATGAAAGATATTATGATGATAATAATAATAATAATATTAATAATAATAATAATAATAATAATAATAATAATAATAATAATAATAATAATAATAATAATAATAATAATAATAATAGTAATAATAATGTCAACACAATAAGATTAATCATAGCTGTCGATTGTATAGCATTATGGCTGTAAAAATAATCACAATAAAATCCGTAAAATCAGCAGTAACAGTGATTGTTGTAAAACTATAACATCTTAAAAAATAGTTTAAGTTACAAAAATAAATCGACTTAATATTATTAATAAAATGGTTTCGGCATACCCCTTTTCAAAATTCCTGTAAATGATATCCGGTTCTTGAGGCAAAGATGACTCACTTTCGCTGTTTTCCACCAACGGGCATAGACCACCTTGATAAGCATCACTTTGATCGTCCGTTAAATCTTCAGTACTAATCAACATCCTCCGACCTTCGAATGGCAAAGCTATCTCTCTGAACGGGTTCTTGACTGTGACCGCCACACGCTTCTTTTTCTTTCGCATCATCTTCACAATTTTTCTTTAGTTATGTAACGTTGCAATGCAGCAAAACTATGTCTGTTGGCAAAAATAGAATTGTTTTCAAAAACAAAGTATTAAGGACATTTTGAGTAACCCCCTCCCCTCCCTTCCCTCCCCACCCCCCACACACACACACACTTCCTACCCTTCTTGCGCCAACAATTTAATGAAAAACTGTGTTCGAGAGCTAAGCTGCCCACCCTCCTGTAACTACGCATAGAGGTTCTCTTTTTTAAATTTTTTTTATACATTGAATAATTCAAAAAATATTACATTTACTTACCATTTAGTACCTTATTATTGTTGTAGCAGCGCGACCACGAATTTTGATTTGACTGTCTATGAAAAAAAATCTGGTGAGTCGTGAGCATAAAGGAGGACGGGAAAGGAAGATTGACCTCTTAGCTCTACCAGTCGCCCGAGAGAAAGGGGCTTCGGTCGAGAGATGAGCTGGCGATAGTTTGTTTCTCTGTGGTTGTACATTTCAGTAATTAGACTGTGTGTTAGGCCTAGATTTCTTTTGTGCACTTTCTTTTGGAGAAAGCAGGTCGCTAGAGGCCATTTACTGATCTGATGGAATGTTAACGCTCATGATAATATGTTTCGATTTTTGCCATCTCTGATGTAATCTTTCTGAACGTATACGTTAATTATCATATTTCCTTTTTAGTGAAGTGAGAAGCACATGGTCTAGTCCAGCTCGCTGATGGTTGTTAACTCTTTGAGTCCCAGGGGGTTTAGCATCACAGGCCCAAAGGGTAGTAAAGAAAGTAATAAAATTGGCGCATCATACGTTCATTGGGCTTCTAGGTAGGAACCTATGAACGTATGATGCGTTCCTTGGGACTCAAAGAGTTAATGTAATGCTATCTGTAAAGCAAGGTAGTTTTGTATTCAGCAAAATAAACAGATACTCAGTGTGTTGATTTTAATTTGCTTGATTCAAGATAGAACTTTTAGTCCGTGCACGTGTTCTATTAGGCGTTACCTATATAGTTGTAGTCAGCGTTTGTTGTGTGACACAATTATACACACATCCTTTGCCAGGGCTTTGATCAAATTTCACGACCCCTGCACAGAAGAACCCTTGTATTTTGTCTACTTTTCCTGTTTTTGCTCTTCAGCGGGGAACAACTACTTATTATCATTACCACATTTCTTTCTTTATCTCCCTACTTCTTGTTTTATATTTTTCCTTCTTCCCGCTAGCACGTTGTTATTATAATTGTTATTAAAGAAATCGTTGGCGCTTTAAAGCTCATTCTCTCTTGATCTATCCAAGTTTGAGCAACAAGAACAAAATTCGTCACATTCAACAATTCATGCTCAGAAGGGGGAACATTTAGTTATAATTGTGACCAGGTTATTTGCGCCATATAAAATGGCTTAACATTGCTCGCCACCAAGAAGTAGCGAAAAGGACTCAAACTACCAAGCTGAGTGCTTGATCTGACACTGTGAGCTGTAGATTTTCACGAAGAATCCTGCGACAGATTTGTGTTTTGGAATGACTGCACTGATTCTAAGTGGTGGCCAACTGCTTTCGGCATATTACGTGGCTCTCTGTTGCAGCTGGCACCAGGACGTTCTGATCAAATTGCCAAACCACCTCCTCTGTTGCTCTGTATGATTAGTTTCAAGTGTCGTCCTCTTCTGATGTCTTCATTTTTAATTGTTTCATTTAGTGTTACTCTGGCGGTTTTTCTAAGATAGCTCATCTCAGGAAGTTGTTATGATTCTAAGTTTATTAGTTTCAGCAATTGTCTACGTTTGTTAGTGTTACCATCTGCTTCCTGTTCAGCTTTCTAAGCCTTTGAGGTTGACTAATGCAGATATCACCCGCCTCCATTAATTTATCTGGTTTGTCTTCTTTTTCCAGCTGGTGACACCAAGTGTTTGTAGGACTGTCTGGAAGTTATCTTTCCAAAGTCTGCCTTGTAGTCAACAACTATACAGCTCGCTTGTGTGTACAGTTTTTACCTCTCTGTCATCTGGCATAATGTTACAATAGTAGCGTGCAGTTCTTGAGGTTCATTGCTGCAGAAATCACCCGCCTCCATTGATCTCTCTGGTTGGCCTTCACTTTCCTGTTGGTGACACCAAGTGTTTGCAGGTCTGTCTGTACATTATCTCTCCATCGTCTTTAGTGTATAGTTGCCACCCCCCCCCCCTTTTTTTTTCCCCCAAAAAAAGGAATGTTTAATAGAAATGCTTTGATGGACAAATGTATACTTTTATGTGTCAAAAGTGGTGTTAGAGAGACCCCAATTCGATTTTCTATAAACATTTATTTAGGTCCTCATACAATGCAGTTGTTTTATGGGTAACGTTTGACAGTTTTCGTTTCGAATGTTATTGTTTTTTTATTTCCCTAAATGTAAAATGTTCGAGAGACATCATGGCATGGAAGATCATCTGTGTCAGAGTTGATTTAAAGCACACGAGACAGAAAGTTGTGGATAGACATGATTACCAACGCACACCGCACAGACTTTTTTTTTTAAAAAAAGAAGAAATTTAAATACATTGAGATTTAATAGTGTGTACTAATATAATGATGCCACATGACAAGGGTCCAAATCTCCTTCGCTTGATTTTCTGTGTTGTCCTAAACACGATTCAATACTCAACATTTTGATTATGGGATAAAATAGTGAAGAATTACATGATTGAAATCCAATCCCACTAGAATATCACACCGAGCGATACACACCCAGTGACACAAAATGCCACCATTCGGATAAAAGATCACACAGGGACAGGTTCCAGAAATCACCTTCAACCCATATGTTTTGTTTAATTTGGGGTCCCCGGCAACAGCCGGAGTGGGGCTTCAAAATAACCACAAATTGCGTCCCACTTTGGGACAGTGGTTACAGTGTTGACAATAAAGAAGTACCTTGGTTCTGTTGATTGTAAACGTGTTCCAAAAATCGCCAGAGTATAGCAGTAACAAAATGCTGTTTTTTAAGGACAACAATTGTTTTAGGTAGCATTTGATGAATGACAGGCTAGTTCATTTTAACTACAAGCGCGATCGTCTGCCAACGTTCCATCTGGTGCGAGAACTGTTAATTGAGCAATCTTTTGCGCACCATACATTATGATAGAATTATAACATAAGATTGTCCTTACTGCAAATTGGACAGGTCCATTAGCGCTCGGATCCCATCTTTAGTGTATCCCCCAGCGTGTGGCAACTTATAACACCCGTTCTGTATTAGTGTACTGTCCTTCTTTGGCTACCTGTTTAGTATTTATGTTTGGCGACACCTCTTTTGACCTGAGTGTTGCCGATTCTTAGTCGTCTCCTGAATAATCTTCTCGTTCTGCCTTTCTAAGAGCATTAGGAATGTCAGCTCGGTCCATTGCTTTTTCGGTAACTTCCGTGGCGCTGCCATCAAGCCAATCCGCTCGTTCATTCCCTCTTACTCCAGAGTGTTCTGGCATAAAAATGAAACATTACTTTCAGACGAGATTTCCTCATCGACTCCAACCATTTTCTTCGAATTCATCCTGTCTCTGTCTTCTTAAGCATGCTCATAGAATCACTTAGAAAGGACGCATAGGAAAACTGCTGTCTCTAGCAACATCATTGCTTTTGTTACCGCCATCACCTTAATAGTCAAACTAATTGTAGTTGAGGCAAAAGTCCCACTTTCAACTTTTTATTTTCTTATTTGTATTATAGATAGAAAAAGTGTACTTCAACGGGTGATTTACCTTCGAGACATAAACGGTGCTGAGGAATGGATACTCATATCAAATGTTTACAAACAGTACTTTGCAATGGTTATCACCCTGAGAAAACAGTGCCGTGATTTGGCGCCATCAGTAGTTGATGCAGAAGTTAAATCAATGGCGGAGGAACACTCATCACAGGAAGATGCTGTTTCTTTATACAAATGGTTCTATGATTCTTCAGAAGCAAAATACTAGGGCTTCACGGCAAGAAACAAATGGAAAGTCATCAAAGTCAATCTGTCTGCCTGCTCACACATACACAAAAACAAGACAAAGAAGACGATACTATATTGGACACGTCGTGAGAAGAAACAAGCGGAGAATCATCAAGCAAGCTAATATGCTATTTAAATGCTATAGAAATGTGTTGTCGCTGTTATTGTTTTATTCAGAATCTAATGGAAGCTTTACGATTCTCTTAAATATAGTTAAATTGAGACCTCTACCAAACATAGGTACTGAAAACTGGCAGGTTAGCCCCAGACCGTATCACAAAGCCAAAGTCCTAATGGACAAACAAGCAGGACTTTTCCGTCCGAGCTTACAACAGGTCAACAAAGAAGGAGGAAGATTAGCGTGGCACCGACTGAGAGAAGACATGGTGGAGGGGGGGGGGGGTGTCATGTCAGCGACCCCCACCCCATCCCCATTTTTTACTCTGCCATAATTTTCCAGGCAAAAGGTAAGCTCGGGGAGCAGGGTGTTCCTAATCCTAGTTTAGGAGAACAATAATACTAATAATCATGTGTTGAATGGTTGATATACACAGCAATACCTTTGAAATTGAATGAAATGTATCAGCAAGTATTTTTAAAGAGACTTTCTATACACAGTTAAACGGGTGCTCACAAGCCTCTGTACAATATTCAAGGGAGAGGGGTGGGCGAACCCCTCATTATTGTAGGGATCTGGCTCAAAGTGGCTTGAGCTGCAAGGTTCACCAGAACTTGGGAGACTGAGACTCTATGTGCTCCGTCCAAAAAAATATTCAGGGTTTCGGGCTCTTTACCCCCGTAGGAAATTTGCAAAGGGAGCTTAAATGGTCTCAATGACGTTTTGTTTCCCCACGTGTTAGCTTAGACATTCAATATCATTTCAGATACAGCTTAATTTGTTTTGTTATTCAGCACACTATTATTATTTTTCAGTCTGAGAAGACTAACCCCTTAAGTCCCCTATCCCTGCCTTGGAGATCATAAGGGCCTTAGGCGCTACATTCTTTTACCCCCCCCCCCCCCTTTCCCCTTTTTTTCTCCCTTTTTCCCCAATATATCCACGAAAGTTTTCTTTGTGTCGGTATTAACCCCGAAAAGTTTTTAGGAGGATACTGAAACCGACGGAAAAGTTTTCATCATGCTGTCCAAACACACATTGGAGGTCACTGACACTTTGAAACAGGGTTAAGGGGTAAAAGCAAGCGCCTTTCAGAGAATAGATCAACCGTATCTGCGGCAGTGCTGCCAATGTTGGGTTTTTACCCCTAAATCTGTGGGTTTTTTTTTATCACGCCTTGTGTTCAGATGTCGGCTCTGTGTCCAGGTCGATGCGAACGCTTCGTAATGCCGCGGTGCCGGGTTCGATTCCAGCTGCGGGCCATGCGCCTTGCGTTGGTTTCGAAAGTGGTATCAGGGGGCCAACCGTCCAGGAAGCAGTGGCATACTACTAGACTTGAATTTGCCTAGGAAAACCACACAACAGCCAGGTGCTGCTGGGGTTGGTTCTGCAACGTCCTGTAAAGGATACGCAACTAACCTAACCTTGTGTTCAGATTTTGAAATCTGGGTTTAAAAAAAAAATATATATATCCCTGCATAAAAGTGGGTAAATGTTTCGTTTCGTAACCATAAATGTGTACTTTTTTAACAATCTGGGTTTTTTTATTTTATGTTTAGTTCTTTGCTTATGTATCGCTTGGGTTTTTGTTTAGCTTAGCTGGGGTTCTCAACCAAAATCTCACTGGCAGCCCTGATCTGCGCTATCTTTCGTTGATAACCAGACCACAGAACTAGTGCTGAACAGAGTACTCCGTTCTGCTACTGCGGGAAATAACTGTTGTCAGCTGGAGGTAACAGGTTCGTTTCCCTGTATAGTAGCTGTATATTTTAGATGTTTATTGCTGTCAGTGTGCTTCTGTCATTACTTCTTTCCTTTGCATCGATGAGCGCCATTTGAATCATGCCAATTTGTTTATCAAATGGGAGATTTACTTACACGTCTGGCTCTCGAGAAGCAGAAGGTTAGTTACTGTAGGTTATCGGCCCTGTTATTCTAGGTATGTACTGTTAGTTTTACGGTACAGCTGAAACATGACCGATGTCAGATGGAACCGGTCGTGGCTGACAGCATAGTCAGTTTACTTTCTGTTAGAAGTAACCTTTCAGTGACTGTATAATACCGGTTTGCTAGTAGTAGTAGTTGTAGTTGTAGTAGCAGCAGTAGTAGCAGCAGTAGCAGCGGTAGTTGTAGTAGTAGTAGAAGCAGCAGCAGTAGTATCAGTAGTAGTAGTAGTAGTAGAAGTAGTAGTAGTAGTAGTAGTAGTAGTAGTAGTAGTAGTAGTAGTAGTAGTAGTAGTAGTAGTAGTAGTAGAAGCAGTAGTGCCATCAGCAACAGTAATATCAGTAGCAGCAGTAACTGTCGTATTAGTAGCAGCAGCAGTAGTGGTTGTAGTGGTATTAGTAAAAGTAATCGCTTAATATTGTACAAGGTTTTAGTCCATTGTGTTCGGTCTCGCAGTCGTTATTTCTCTCTCTCTCTCTCTTTCTTACTCTTTCTCTCTCTCTCTCTCTCTCTCTCTCTCTCTCTTCCGCTACGCAGAACGGCTAGCCGCCTGCTGGGAGACTCGCCTGAAGCAGGAACTCCTTAGCTCCATCGACTAGCCCCAGGGAAAAAAATGAACTAAACGACACATATCGATGAAATTAACCGATGACCTTCAGAGCAAGAGGCAGATAGTAAGCGCTTTCACCACAGTAATAGTATTAGTAGTAATAGTAGCAGCTGCAGCTCAGTAGTAGTAGTAATAGAAGTAGTAGTTGCAGTGGTATTATCAGCAGCAACAGCAGCACATAGTATTACCAGAAGAATACTAAGAAGATGAAGAAGAAGAAGAAGAAGAAGAAGAAGAAGAAGAAGAAGAAGAAATTTTTTTAAATTGTTTATGTGAGGGGTAATAAGGTGACGATAAGAGGCAACAACCTTCTACAATTCGGAAGTGTTGGCGGTTACATAAAACGCCTGCAATCATATCTCTCAAAATAAAAACTGTCTTGGTTGTACTCACTCGGACACGCCCGGTGAAAAGAAATTAAAGAGCCGACACACTGATTTTGTCTGCAGTGGCTGATGGAGGAAGAAGTATGGACAAGTCAGATATACTGAATGCGCTGCGTTTTAGAGACTTTGAAACAATGGAATCAGAGACAATAAACAATCTGCTGACAAGGACAAACGTGCAAATACAGGTTGGGAGCAAAGACAGAAAATATGCCAGTCAACTCCTACTTAGAAAGTTGAGCATGGAGACACTGAGATGGCTCCTCCATCGATGAACAAAGCACAAATAGGTCGGACCTCTGTGCTAGAACAGCGGTTCTTGACCTATGGGTCTCGACACTTTTGAGGGTCGAACGAGCCTTTCTCATGGATCGCTTAAGACATTAGAAAACACATAGTCACTGAAGTTAAGTAACAAAGCATTTTTATTTTTATTTGTGAGGGTCACCACAATATGAGGAACTGTATTAAAGAGTCGCGGCATTAGGAAGGTTGAGAACCACTTTGCTAGAATGGACAAATAGTAATTAATAAGTAACAAAAACATGAACTCTCGTTATATTTTGTTTTCGTTAGTTTTTGTCATAGAGAAACCATGCTGGATATTCTGCTAGCTTTTCTGGTGGTGCTGTTAGTGGCTAAGTGGTGGCTGAGTGGACAGAGGAAGGGACTACCCCCAGGTCCGCCCTTTGCTCTACCATTTGTGGGACATCTGTACCTTCTGCCAAAAGATCCAATGAGTTTGCTGGAAAAATGGAGAAAGAAGTATGTATATTTCATAAGGTTCTCAAGTTATACTGATACACTAATTCTGATGGTTGATCTGTGTATTCTTCCACGGATCTTTCCAGTGGTCACAACATTTTCCAGTTTCTTTTTTTCTCATATGTTCTTAAAAAAACGTGACGATGTGTCATTAGGATGTTTGTGATAAGTTGTCTTTGTGCCGTCGTCTTTTTCAAAATATCTATCTGCTGTTTTTGGTTGTTCAGGGAAGTCTAAGGGTTCTTCTGTAAAACCACATCTCCTAGGCCTCGAGAAATTGTTTTCGCATGTTTATTAAGTGTTTTCTTCCAGAACCTCTAACATTATAATATCAATATATAACAATACCAAATATAACACATTGCTTATTAAATGTTAAGCTGATGATCAAAAATTCTTATATATATATATATATATATATATATATATATATATATATGCGGCGTCCGTGGCTAAGGCGTTGCGAGTCCAACTCGTAAGCCATCATACCGCGATCGAAACCCACTGCAGGCTGCGTGGATTTTTGTCGTGGTATGGGACGACGCAGGTCGACCCAGCCTAAAATGGGTACCAGGATGGGCTGTCCTGGGAAAGTAAAGACAGCCGGCGTAATGCTGACCACATTACCCACAGAGTGCTGATGGTCTGTAAAAATATGGGACGCTCTGCCCATATGCCCGATGCGCCGAAAGGCGTGAAAAGGGATCTTTACTTTTTACTTTATATATATATATATATATATATATATATATATATATATATATATATATATATATATAGGAAAAACGTAAAATATATGCCGGCTTTACAGGAACAATTACAAGAGACAAATAACGAATATTGCAGTGGTTAACCTTTATCAGCAGAACAGCGACTAGAGTCAAAATCAACAAAAAGAAAACGTACTCTAAAATACCTATATTTGGTTATTCAGATATTGTGTAAACAAATGAAACAAAACAATAATAAATGACAGAATTGTATTCAGTTCATGACATTCGCATAGGCAGCCATGAATACCATGTCATATAAAACAGCAAGGTAGTTTAAAAGAACAGTAACTAAATACAAGGTACTCTATAGAAATGACAGTGGTAACAAAACACGAAGGGACATTAAACACACACTAGGCATGCCAATGCATGAGGTAGGGGAACTAACTAGCCAACTATTCAGTCTTGCCGACTGACCACAATAGGAGCGGTGTTCTGCAAAAAGCTTACAAAGTGATGATGAATCAGAATCTGTTAGTTTACATCTGTATACAGTACAGTGGGCAGCTAATTTATTTAACACTCTATGTCAGTAGAGATGACAAAGCATTAAAGCATATACATGTTTTAAAAGTAAATAATTAAAAAGAAAATGCTGTCTCCTTCCATTGCACCCTAAGTTATAATTTAACTCCCTTTATAATAAAAATACGCCGAAAATATAATGAGAAATGTAAGAGATGATATAAACAAGGAACAATATGATGCCCTAAACATCGGTGGTCATGAAATACCAGAAATTCGTTATGCTGATGATACAGTATTACTATCAACATCACAAAATGGTTTAGAAAACTTATTAACCTCACTCCAAAGAAATAGTGAAAATCATAACTTATTTCTAAAAATAGCAAAAACAAAGATAATGCATACAAACAAAACTGCCATGGAGAAGGAAATATATGTTAATGAGGAAAGATTGGAAGTGGTGGAAAATTTCGAATATCTTGGGTCACTGGTTACCAACAATGGTGACACAATGAAAGAAATTAAACGGCGACTATCAATTGCTCTTCAAAGACTAAAACAACTGAATAAATTATGGAATTGTACAGATAGAATTAGAAAGGTCAGATTTTTAAGAGCATGCATCTTTCCCATTGCAACATACGCCTGTGAGACCTGGACACTCACTAAACAAGCGGAACAGCGCATAAATGCATTTGAATATAATTGTTACAGACAGGTTCTAAGAATATCTTGGGTAAAGAAAAGAACAAATGCATCCATACTTCAAGAGCTGAATATTGAAGAGGGTTGGCTAGCAAAGACAATAAAACAATGAAAATTGAAATATTTTGGTCACTTGAAACGTCATGGAAGTCTAGAGAGAACAATAATGGAGGGGTATATGCCTGGGAAGAGAGGAAGAGGAAGGCCAAGGAGAAGATGGGTGCAGGATGTGGCAGATGATCTCCAGATGGGTGTATCAGACGCAGGACATCTTGCTCAGGATAGGAAGATTTTCCGGAGGGTTGTTATGGCAGCGAGGTTCCGCGAGGGACATGCGGGACATGCTACTGAATTCAAGATAAATTACAAGGCTTTCCAAAGAAATTAGACCTGCTAGAAAAAAAAAAAGAAAAAGACAAAGGGCATTCAAGAATATTCTATCATTGTCGTCCTCCATCTTTTGGAATTTCTTTAGAATCTGTTAGTTTATATCTAACATTATAATATTATACCAAGTGTATAAGACAGCGAGAAGCTAATTTCTCACACACTCTAGCGCGGTAGAGACGGCAAAACATCAAAACAAATACAAGTTTAAAATTTAAAAAGTTAACAAAACAAAACAAAAAAATGTTGCCCTCTTCCATTCTAACCAAAGTTATAATTTAAAGTAGACTTCTAAAAAAATTTTTTTTTTTAAAGTAAAGGACCTTTCGCCCCCGCCTTCAAGTATGCTAGGCATATAGTGGTGGACTTATATTTTATAGACCAACTGGCACACCTAGGTGATGGGGTCAACTGTCTTTTGACCACCTCTACTTCCCAGGATTGCACCTCCTTCCCATTTGAGGATGGATCAACATTTAGTAAAAAGCAGGGCTCCAAGTTAAATATATCTACAATAACACTACGTTAACACAAATTCCAAAGGACAAAACAAAAAAGAGTTCACATTTAAAACATATATGCCACCGAAGAGTAATAATATTACATCCCTGCTAATTTTATTGTGAACAAAGTGTCCTTCTTAAGCGAGTTTGTGTTAACAAGGTTTATCTGTATATATCTTATAGTTCAAAATGGCTTGGAAAGAACTGCAGTAAAGGGCATGGTACTAGATAAGAGAGGCATATGCTAACCAGCATAAAGGTGTGCATGGGAAATAAAAGACACCATGGGAATGAAAGTGAATGAGGCACCTGACTGGGCATGGGAAATAAAAGACACCATAAGAATGAAAGTGAATGACGCACTGACTGGGCATAAGAAATAAAAGACACCATGGGGATGAAAGTGAAAGAGGCACTGACAGGGCATGGGAAATAAAAGACACCATGGGAATGAAAGTGAATGACGCACTGACTGGGCATAAGAAATAAAAGACACCATGGGGATGAAAGTGAAAGAGGCACTGACCAGCATAAAGGTGGGCATGTGAAATAAAAGACACCCTGGGAAGGAACGAACGAATGTGGGGCAAATGTTGTGTATATGATTTGCTACATAATGATAATGATTTTCTATATAGCAAATGATAATGTGTTTTCCCTCTCTATCTGCAGGTATGGTAATGTGTACATGCTAAAGTTTGGGAGTCAACCTGCACTTTTCATTCACGAACATGGTTTTCTCTGTGAGGCTTTGGTCAAAAACCATGAGACATTCATGAACAGAAATGAAACCTTTGTGACCAAAACTCTCTTAGGTTGCAAGGGTATTTTCTCCCTGAGTGGTGATGCATGGAAGGAGCAGAGAGCTTTTGTTCACGCCACACTTAGAGATCTAGGAATGGGTAAGAATGTCATGGCTGAAAGAATCCAGGAAGAAGTCAAACATTTTTTACGTTCAATAGAGGAGACTAAGGGACAACCAACAAACTTTTCAAACTTGATAACTGCCACAGTATGTAATATCATCTGTGGTGTCGTCTTTGGGAAGAGATTTAGCCACAAAGACGAACTCTTTTTGGAGTTGTTATCAAATCTGCAGTTTTTATTTCGTGAGCTTGGAACCTCAATGCCAATACAGTTTTTCCCATTTCTCAAATACTTACCAGGTGATTACTTCCTTTATCATGAGAGTGTCCATCGTTGCCAAAGAATGAAGTCAGTCATTTGGGATATGATAAATAAAAATGGCCGAAAAGTTAATACCAATGACGAATCATTTGAAGATCTTGTCCAGGCATATCTCACCGAGATAGAGAAGAAAAAAGTGGCTGGAATTACAAATACATCCATTGATGAAGAGAACCTTCTGCACACTGTGTGGAATTTTTTCAATGCTGGGACTGAAACAACAAGCAAGACGGTCATTTTTTGTCTACTGTATCTGGTTTACTTCCAGGACATCCAAGAGAAACTCTTTCAGGAGATTCATGAGAATATTGGCACTGAAAGATCACCTCAAATGTCTGACAAACCGAAACTGAAGTTACTGAATGCCTTTCTGCTAGAGACATTCAGACATTCAAAGATGGGCCCTTTTGCACCAGATAGGGTGGCAAGTAAGGATGTTGTACTAAAAGGCTTTCTCATTCCAAAAGGAACAGTAATCATTCCAGTTTTTGATTCGATAACACAGAATAAAGAAGTATGGGGCGATCCAGAAAACTTCCGACCAGAACGATTCTTAGATGAAGCTAAGAAGGATTTTACGGTCTTCTCTGTTGGTAAACGCAACTGTGTTGGAGAAGCAATGGCAGTGATGGAGCTCTTTCTAATCCTCTCCTCGATGATCCAGAGGTATCAGTTCCTACCAGAGAGACACGGCCAGAAGCCTTCACTGGAAACAGAATTTGGATTCACAAGATCACCAGAACCTTTCAAAGTTAGGGCTGTGCTGAGATCAAATAAGAAGTCCACGGATTAATGTTTTGTTTTAGTAGACATTCCGTTTGAAGTAGATCACTTGTTAGCAACAATAAATGTCTGTCACTTGTAATAAGAAAAGGATCATACTATTTCATAGATGAACCAATTTATGCTTGTGTTGGTTTGTTACATCTTATAAAATAATGAATCAATGAAAGCATAAATCAAAAATTGACATCATTGCACTCGGGATATTACCATACGTGCTCCGTCTCTTTCTTCAAAAACCAACGAAGAGTTGACATGCTAATAGTACCAGGTGCACCCTGATTAAAAATCCGCGTCTCTTCTCCTTGCACTACTGAATATCTTCCAGAACCCCTACACGCCATTGGAAAAGAAATTTAACTACCATTATACAATTTCTTTCTTTATTTCTATTTTTTTTAAACTGTCTTCTTATTTTTCTTTTTATTGTTCACCGGCTGTACACTCTGGTGAAAAGTTATCCATGTTCGTCCACTTATGGGCGTTATTCTTGTATCGGACCTTCAATGTTACATGCACATCCGTTTTTTTCAGATCTGGCTAATTTATATGCACAGTGTTGCATTGTATCTCAGGCAGACGTGATCCGACTTGGAGGGAAAATCTCTAATTGGTCACCTTTCATGATGTCACTTATCACTCCTGTCGCGTGCCTAATGTAAGGATTTCTCCTTCAGAACCAACAGCACTCAGAAATAATTATGTTAAGTCGTTTGGCTCGTATTGGTCTAAGGGATTCCCCGTGGCCAAAATACGCTCAACTTATTTCTGGAGTAGGGCAACTCAAGTATTGGCACTACAAAATATATCTGTATATGAATACAATATTCCTAGGCACACTTGCTGGACACCCCCACTACTTACTAAAGAAAGCCCCCAGGTTATGATAATTCATTATCATAACCATGTTAACACATATAATGAAGATACATACACACACAACTGCTAAACACTTAAAAAGGTGAAATAGAGACACCTAAGTCAGCCATGAAAATGAATGCATGTAATCAATCTAACATATACATATAATAGTGAAACAGATGCCAGATCTCCGTGGATAGATCTCAGGATATAATGTCCAAATCACAAAGATACTACACAGACAGAAGGTCCTGGAGATGACACCTTATCATCCTTGGGAAAAATAGGAGCTGTGAGGAATAAAGCACATAAGGCATCAAACTTAGCTTCTCCTCTTTCCGTCTATGATGCTTCCCTCAGCTCCTGATGATTCGACTGTCTTTGACTCTGGTAATTCTGCTCAACTGGATCAGGTAGTGAAAGAGTACCTCACCATAGAGGACACAGCAACTGTACCGGTACCCAGCAAGTCTCTCCCACCAGTCAGGTCACAACACTGTCTTTGAGCTACACCAAGCTCTAGCACTGGTAGGCTGTTTGGGGTATATGCCCCCACATAGTGATGATGTCAGGAACCTTCACAGGTGTTAGCTGGTGGGTAGTTGGTTGATATTTGGTTTATGGTTGGTAGGTGTTGGTTGGACTGTGAAACTTCTGCCAGCTCCTCACAAAGGATTCATCCCAAGCATATGAAAAGTCCGAGACATTTCAGATTGCCTTTTTCAAATGAATTATACAGGCATCGATTGACACGTCTAGACGCTTGGAAGCCGGCAAGAGAGAATGCCGCCAATTACGCACTTCAGGCGTTGGTAAAAAAGGAGTTCCTAGTATACATGGGCAAGGAGTAAATCGGTTTCTAAGAAACCTCAAATAACTCCTCTAATATATATCCAATATATATACATTTAAAAGTGGAGTTTATTCAAAGCAACTAGAAAATGTAGACATAATAATGTTGTCCAATAAAGGCATATATATATATAGATATAAGGGACTATATCTTTCCGGACGAGTCCAAGTTTGAATTTTGTGCCGATTACAGGTAGGTCAAGTTACCAGTCTTACGGACTGATGCGTAATGGCTTATCATTCCACGACACATGACATGCTTGATAGGGATGTAGTAGGTCTATTCTTGTTTCCCTCAAAATGGGGTGGGGAAGGGGTGGGGGGGGGGAAGAGGGGGGGGGGGAAAGAGGGTATCTTTATTACAATTTTAAATTCATTTGACCTAGTTGTGGCGTTGGCGGCTAGACACCCGCCTGCTAATCGGAAGGGCGCGGGTTCGCGTCCTGGTGGAGCCGGGCTTTTTTTCAAAAATGAACTGGACTTCCAGGTTAACCCAGCCTTAAGTGGGTACCAGGTGCAGTCTGGAGAAGTAAAGGTGACCGGCGTGATTCTGTCCACATCACCCACTAAGTGCCGATTGGTCTATAAAAAATATAGGTCTAGCCCTATATTCCCAATACACCTAAAGGCGTGGAAAAGGGACCTTTAGTTTACTATTGGACCCACTTGGAAAATGAAACATACTGGGCCTACAGGCAACCTGTAAAGTAGTAGACTTGTGGTGGGCTCCATCCAAACGCCTTTCTAAATAACCAGGGCATGTTCTTCCTCGTAATTATTGCCTTTTTAATTAATTGTCTTATATGCCTTTAATTTGTTATTTGTTTAGAAGTAACCTAATTTTTCAAAAAAAGTAGTAAAATAGTACGTTATCTTATATAACACTGTAATGTGTAGCTTAATGTAGTTACCGATACAACTATGTATCCATGTAACGAAGTTTGTGAACTGCCTCAGTACTATATTTTTTTTAAATATTTTTTTTAAACTAAAGAACTTATAATAACTGGCTTTCGTGACATTAAACACACACTAGGCATGAAAATGCATGAGGTAGGGGAACTAGCCAACTATTCAGTATTGCCGACTGACCACGATGGGAACGATGTTATCCAAAAGGCTTATTATATTATGATGAATCAGAATCTGTTAGTTTACATCTGTAGACAGTACAGTGGGTAGCTAATTTATCACATAATCTGTAGTCTTTACCTTGTTAGACAAGCTGTACTTAATTTGCACCCACATTTGACAGTCTGAAACGATTAATGTATTTTTTAATATGTACGTTTTATTTTTAAAGAAACTGTTTTTTCTCTGAAATGTATTGTTCCATGTTTAAATAGCGTAATGCACATGTAAATTCTTACTCATACTGGCCTATGCTGTCATAATAAAATAACTGACTGGCTAACTGTTTATCTTCTTTAGGCTGATACTTAAAGGTTGGTTACTCTGTCCAATGATCCTCTTCTCAGGTTGCAGTCCAACAGATCAAATCTCATATACCTTGTTCAGTCTTGTTGTAAATTAAAATTAAGGTAATGACTACATCAAGAACTATCTCGGCCCACATCTGCTGTCTTAGGTGTTTGGTGAAATTATCCTATTGCACAATGAATGATGTTCATATACTACTTATCTAAAAGTTCAATCCTATAATGGGGAATGTCAAAAGTGGAGTAGCCGTCTTTGAACTTTCATTATGACATCACCGTATTCATATGCACCATAATACACATGCTTAACACTCTTGACCACTCAACAACAATGTTGACAAGTTATAAGAAAATGGCATTGTTACTTTAATTGCTGTCACACTTTTATGATTTTAATGCCATTGGTAATAATCATCAGGTATCATGACGAATGACGTAGAATGCTTCTCCACATGTTGTGATCCATCAGTTCATATGCGGATGCCAGTCCATGCCATGACAACAAGTCTCAACGACGAATATTTGTACCCATGAAAGATGCAAGCAGTAGAGAATGAAGAGTGACAAGCAACAACACAATTCATGTTATGCTTATTAAATCCCTCCTGTAACTAGCATTGTGTGGGGGCGTGGGGCTAATAGCCTACAGTGGTTGGGGCATATATACAAAGAATGGCAGATGACAGAGCGAGAACCTGCATACATAAAAGAGTCCATTGACCATATCAAGACTATGAGGCAGACAAAGAAGACGGTGGAAAGACAATATACAAGAAAATCTACAAACACTTGAAGTCGCCAACTGGAAAAAGAAGGCAGTTACAGAGATGAATGGAGGTGGCCAATATATGTAGCACTGGATCTCTAGGGTTGGGAATGCTGAAGAAGAAGATATAGAAAAAGAAAAATACATTGTCGTACCCCATCTTTTGTTCCATAAATTATTCCCAATTTTTTTTTCTGTCTGATAATATGACAAATAATGATGATTGTCTCTTTCTGATTTTTCTGATGAACTGACATCAGAGCTGTCAGATGACTAACTTTGACTGCTTAATAAATATTTAGCTCTTTTCAGCGAAATCCTATCCCTGAGGACTCAATGGATTTTAATTGTTTCTGTTGTTATATATTACGTAACTTAAATATGTAATGAACGATAAGTCTTTGGAAAACACATCATGTTGGAAACTCACGGCAACCAACATTCATTGTGGAGATGACACCTTGTCAACTGATTGAGCACTACATTTCCAAGTGTCTGGTGCTGCTAAATTAAGTGCATTTTATAACAAATATGTGTACGGAATTAATTTGGAAGAGTTAATTTCCTAACTTGTTCTGTTCTTAACAACACACAACCCTCCAGGTATATTACAGCTAGCAAATAGTAGACTCTCATATATTTCAAAATCTGGTCAGAGCATCCTAAAGAAATCTGACTCATGTAACCCCATCCACCATTTTTAGCCTCTGTTTAGCATTAATAAGTTTTCTCCATTCAGGTGTTTGCATCAAAACCTTCTGGTAATAAAAGAGATAAGCCCTTTCTGTATTAAACAACTTACTGTACGTTTCTTTGTATTTCCAAAGATAGTCATTTAGCACACATAGATGTCCTACTAGCTATTTGTATTTTAGTTTAAGTGCTTCTGTTCTACTGTGTTCCTCTTCGACTTCTTTAGACATAAATTTTCACTGCTTTTAAGATCAATCCCTTTGATTAGATAAAGTTAAAGTAATAACAGATGACATTGACAGAAATGAAGCCCTTTGAAAATATTGTTTTGTTTGTGACATACATAGATTATCATTTACCCTTATTCTTATTCCTAATTTTCACCAGATGTAAACTCTA